ATAAAACAAAAAAAGCTGAATATTTATACCATGTTGCATTCAAGAAAGATATTTTTAGTAATGCACCCCCAAGTTGATTTCTTAGGGAGTCCACCTAATTTCAGCCTTCAGGTAGTTACAGCTGCACCTTGGTCATTGCTGTCTGCATTGGACAGTACTTCTTGCCTCTTAGTGGAGCTCAGTTTGTTTGACAATGCAGAGCGTTTTTAATAAGACATAGTTCAGTCAGGTAGTCTTCATAGGTAACATTAATTCCCTTAGTATCTTGAAATATCTCTTATCGAGCTAAAATCTCAAATTTCAGTCATCTCATTGAGATGGTCAGTATTGTAAAGCATGCAGTAGATCATTTGGTGTGAAAGCTGCTTTGTGAGCAGTAACTGATACAAATCTGTATGTTTGTCACCTGATTATCAATCCTTCCGTATCTATACTGCAAGTATTCATTATTTGATTTGAACTACAAAGGTTTGTGCTGTCTTCTACAGAAATCCCCTAAAAATGACTGTTTATATCCTCAAAATCCTTTTCACTTTGTACTGAATTATAAATGTTTAGATGCTTTATGTCAGCAAAATCCCTGACAAATTTAAGTATATGTTTCTAAGCCTTCCAGGAAGCATTTAATCCTGGCACCAAGCAGTTAATCTGAGAATTTTAGATACTCAGTCCTATATTCATTCATTTCTGAGAAATTATTGTGAAATGGTATAAAGTATGTCACCATGAATTACCTTAGCTTTAAAGAGAAGAGCTTTCTTGTCCAAGCTGGTTATAAAAACCAGCCAACCAAAACAACAGGGAAATGCAGAAGCAAAGTGTGGTATACATGGCTTCTAAAATTTCTTCGTTTAGAGGATCCTGGAAGCTTTCAATTGTTTTTTCATAATTATTTCAAAATGTTCAAGTATGTGAGACAATATTTTTTGCTTTGATATATACAGAAGTTTGGCTTAGAGTTCATGAGGAGGAGAGAGCGTTGTTTTTCTTCAGCCGGTTAGCTTGTTTAGTCACGAAAACAGCAGAATAGAGACAGGCTTACACATGAAGAAAAGATAAAGAAAACAGTCAATATGTGTGCGGAGATTCATTTTTTTTTTTTTTTAAGAAGAGAATAAACTTGATTCATCATTCATGGAAAGTGCACTTGCGAAAACCAATCAGTGAAGATTAAATGAAGAATAACAGAGTCTCCTGAAAAATGTAGACGTGGAAAAGTGAATACAATAGGAAATAGTAAAAATAAGTTCACATATGTTTTCATATTCTTTTAGTAGTTATTGACTGAACACCTACTTGGAGAGCAGAATGCAGTATCATCAAAGACATCCTATCAATTGTAACTGAGTTATAAGAGAGCTTTATATGTCTAACATCATTGTTTTTTATTTTCAAGTGATAATCAATGTGTGTTCTCTCAAAATGAGAGAATATAAACAATGCCTAATGCTTGAAACAGTAGTAATTTTTTCCTTTACAGAATTCAAACCATGTCTTCCCTTTCTTATATCTGCCAACTTCAAGCCCGTTTTCTCTTCTACAATTCCTGGTTTTGGTGTAACTGCAGGTATATTAAGCTTTTAAAAAGACTTGAAGGCCATTTTATGATTTCACTGCAGTTTCATCAGCTGGGGACTCTTCCTCAGTTTTTAAATTTTTAACTACGTATAGGATGTGGCCTTCCTCATTCAAACACTGTGCAGTCTGTAGCAGTCAGTAGCGCATTGAGAAAGCATTTTTTACCACCCCTGCTCCTGCTACATTACAGATGCCGCATTTCTTATACTGTGTTGTGTTAGTACCGTGAGCTGGGTCATTCCCTTGTCTCATCACAGCTCGAGAATCCTTATGATCTGACTGCTAGCAACAGGCATTTGGGAGACAAAAGGTGTTTTCCTACCCTGATAAAGCAATTGGATCTTCCTTTTCCCTTTCTTATCCCTGAACTGAGTCTTGGTGTCTGTATTAAGGTGGCTATTCAGAAGTGACAGAACGTATTTGGGAGATGGATGGACTTTGGTGTATGCAAGAGCTCTGCTTTGTCAGGACTAGCTGAAGACTCCTTTCTCTCTAATCGTAAGACTGATGGACATCTCACTCTGTTCTGTGATCCCAAAGCAGTGTGTGCATTTGAGTTCTTGAGCTTCACAGAAATGCCTACAAAAGTTGGTTACATGTTATACGCTGTATGCATGTCACTCCTTTGTCCCTTGGATGACTGCTGGTTTTCATGACAGATACTTTCTGCAGTGGTGAATATGTAGAGTGCTTCAGTCTTTGCACCTCAAAGCTGTTCTTGTGACCTTGTCTTGCTTTGGGGAGCACACAGTTCTGATTTTTAGCTCCAGATCTTAAGGTAGTAAGGAGCTAAAGACCTAAATAGAATTCAGAGTTTAAATATTTCCTGAATCTGATGTGACATATTTAAGGCCGCTGTAAAATTGCTCATATCCAGATATTTCATTACCTGTGTAAAAGCACTGTAAAATTTTGTGGTGAGTTTATCATGCGCACTAAATTTTCATATTTCTTGTTCCACTGTATTTATAGTCAAATATTCTTGAAATTACTGTTTAAAGATTATTGTTAGTGTGAGGCAGGCTAAATGCTGTTTCGTTTTTTGTTTTTTTTTCTTGTACTTGATAACCACATGGTGTGATTATCAAGGCTACTTTCTCATGTGTGGGTAAGTACAAAGTGATTAGTTTACCTTCTTTCAAGAAGAAATAATTTGTTTCTAGACATTTTGAGGGAAATAATGAGTGATTTCTGGTAGGTGATTTATTTTTTATTTTTTTAAATAACTTCCACCTGCTCCCAGATGGCTAGAACATATAAATAACTGAACATTTTTAAAGCATTTTGTATTACTCGTTGGACTGGAAATATGCTGCTATCGGGGATGTACTGTAACAGGGTTTTCAGGAAACTCATAATGGCACAGGAGTTTGATATGTCAGTGAGTAGGAACCTTGAGCATAAATGCAATGTTTACTACTGGTAGGAAGGTTTCACTGAATATACTACCTCTTTTATTTGGGGACAGCCTGAAGTTTGGTTCCTACTGATTTCTGTATTATTTCTGTATTATTCTTTACTTCCCTTTTTTCTTCTCTTTTCTTCTCCTTTCTTCTACCACTGCTATTTCTTCCCCTCTTCCTCCCCTTTCAACAAGAGAAGCAGTGAACACACATACTTTTTTTGCACGTATTTCTTGCTTTGCTTCTTGACTCCTGGCATTACATCTTCTTAGCAATTTTCATGTTGCCCCATGGGTTTAAGAACAAGAACAAAATACCCACACAGTGAAACTCATAATAGATGGATTCCCTAGAAGGGCTTATTTTCTGTAAACAGCACCAAAAACAGCTTTCAGTTTTTTTTCTTCTGGAATGTCTTTTGCTCAAAACCTTAGAGAGAGAAGACATGAAAGATTGATGCCTGTTTTTGTTAGTCAGGCCATGGGAAGTGTGCTTTGCTTCTTTGCTTGCTTTTCAGAGTTCAAGTATGCAGGGCATTTGGGAAAAGTGTTAATATATAAAATGCTAGGCTGGCCTTACAAGCCCTGCTTTTGCTATCTCCTGCAAGTGTCATTTGATTTCCCTGCAGTTAGCCCTTTTATTTTCAGTGAGTCAGTACCAATTGTGTTCAGTTTTGAGTATGCTTGAACATTACAAGGCATGAAACTCAACAATAAATAAACAAACCACATTTCCAGTTTTCATCTCAGTAGTAGTACCCTCATTGGATCATCTGGTCTGTTTTCTGAAACTAAAGTAATGGTAAGAATTCAATTTGAAATTGTTTATTTAATGAAGTCTGTATAAACTTTTTTCAGTAATGTTTTGTTAGTGTACAGAATACTGTAGTTTGCTGCCTACTGATGTTTTCTGCGTTAAAATGCTTCTTTTTAACTTGCCATGAAATAAAACATTTATTTCCCATCCGGCCAAACCATCTATAAGATCTTTTTATTCACTTAAGAATACAAACACAGAGGTATTGCTATGGACCCTTGTGGAAAATAAGAACAGTATATGCATTTTTTTTTAAGAGTGAGAGGAGAAGCAGTTTGTGGCTGTGATCCAGTAAGCAGGGCACAAATAAGAGCTAGTCAGATGGAGCCTTGCCTTGTGGCACTGAGATGTTTGTGTATTGGCCTTCCAATTCACTGCTCTAATGTCTTATGCTTGTTTTGACTGTAATCTTTTGGCACAGGTAGCATATAGCAGAGAGGGAGTCTGTTATCATCTAGTACTGAGTTTATGCCCAGAGGCACTGATTCAAATGTATCTAATGTGTGAAATAGAATGAAAGAGATTCTACAAGGGTGTATGAAAATAATTTAATAGTGTGAATGCTATGCATACCTTCTGTAATAAAGTTTGTGTGCCTTTGAAGAAGATGGTATAAGATAGATGGTAACTGAAGATATTTTTTTATTCTGAATGTTTTCCTCTGTTAAATAATAAAATCTCAAGTATAATGTTCTTTTCAACTTTGACTTTGTTAGAATTCCTTACCTGACATGGGGAGGAAGAGTACAAATAAGAGAGATCTCATTTGACACGGTTATAGTAATAGACCTTCACTGTCTTTTAAAAGCAGTCTGAGTTCTTGAGAATAAAAGTAATGAAAATGTTGGGGGACCAGAAATTTACATGCATTTCCTTCCCAGGGAATTAATGGGAGAAAAAATGACAAGTTAAATTGTTTGTGTGATGTCCACTTAAATTACATGTGTGAAAATTCAAAGCCATAAGGAATTTTAAACTCAGAATTACTATTCATCTTGCTATTGAGCATAAAACATCTTGCTCTCAAATACACACTACCTTCTGAAAGTTTATGTCACTTTCTTCCACAGCTAAATTCTAGTCATGGGAAGTTCTTGGGGAGCAAACATGTATGCTATGTGAATTTTGCATGGAAGCAAGAGGAAAAAGGATATATGTCACCTTCCATAAGCATGTATTGTAATTTTCACATTTGTGTTTCAGGAAAACCAGATGCCTCTGCTGAAACTCTTCTGGATCAGGAATTCATAAACCCTGTGAGTTACTCAAGCCAGCTAGAAGACTCTGGATGTGATGTCTCTAATGACTATGCATTCGATTCTTTAGGCATAGCTTCTGATTTTCACCAATCTGAACATAACGTTGACACTTCTAAATGCTTGTTGGAAAGAGTTCCCCCACTGAGTCTGTGCAGTACTAGCAAGGAGAAGTCTTTGACTGCTCCAGTGCAGTTTTTGCAACATCTGCTTGAAATAAGAAAACTGTCAGAAGAAGGAATCCTTCAAGCAGACTTCACAGAGCTTGAGAATGATTCTTTCACCATACGCAATTCAGTGTCTCAGTTGCTTGATGGACTGACTGTTTTTTACAACAGTCCTAAATTTCCAGTTTCAGATTTTCTTACTGAAGCAGTTTCTGTTTTGATCAGTTTCATAACTAATAATAAATTATCTAACCATGTTTTGAAGAAGTGCTTCAAGAAGCTGGAAGAATTTAAGAAAAATCTAGTACAGATTATTTTAAGAAACAGCAGTGTCAATAGGGTAAGTTTAAAACATCTTCCATCTTTCCTATGCCATTTCAGTATACTGCAGTATTCTCCTGTATTTTATGCACTTTTAAAATATTAATTTGCCTTATTATATTTTGAAGGGTACTTTGAGATTTTTGTGATTGTTATTTTTTTGTAATATTGACTTTTTTTTGCTCTAAAGCATTTGAAAAAGTTATTGCTCAAGCATGCGAGTTCTTCTGTTCTGCTCCTAAGTATGGGACTTTTTAAAACTGTTAAAATGGCAGATGAAAACAACTTTATAGAAAATATGAGAGAAAACCACATTGTTCCACCTGCTATATGAAAATATATTGTAAATATTCACAAAGTAATGACTATATGATTTCTTTATTCTTTCTTGTGCACCTAGATTAAATAAGTTGGTTTGCTTCAGATAACTTCTGACACTCTCTATACATTTGCAAATTTGTGTTTTAAAAGTAAGTCAGCAGATGAGTGAGGAATTCAGAACTAGCATGTCCCCAGCACCGACAGCAACAGGACTGAATTGCATTTTGTCTGCATTCATTATTCTGCACTGTTCCATGCATCATCTTGTTAGTTCCCTCATTCAACTGAAATATCCCTAGTCTGTCTTCACAAGGCTTCTCATAAGTACTGAATTCCATGTCTGTCTTAGGCTTTTTGGTTTTCGTTGTCTTTTAGAGTAACTTGGACGAGACATGGTGGAATTGTTTGAGACTTAGATGTACCAATATAGTGTCCACATGTATGTAAACTACACTACCATTATAGTAAATGAAGATTGTATCCCAATAATCCATGAAGCCTAATGAATGCTGACCAGGTACTAGGTCCCTACTTTAGGATGAGCTCAAAGTTGCCTTTAGCAAAATGAGAAATGAGACATCTGCTACACCTGTGGACAGATAGAATCATAGAATGGTTTGAGTTGGAAGGGATCTCAAAGATCATCCAGTTTCAGCCCCACTTCTGCTAGACCAGGTTGCTCAAAGCCCCATCCATCCTGGCCTGACATGACATGTCAGACAGCACTGGTTGCATGTATTTGACATAGCCATTTTCCACCAGTTATCTTTGTGTTTTGCTATTGTTCCTATACTTAAATGAAAATTATTTTGAGAAAGTTTTTCAGCACAGTGAGGTTAATCTTTCTCTGTCCAAAACCTGTTTTTAAGGAAGAAGAAGCAGCCTTTCACTATTCTTCAAAATCTTTATTGAAATTGTGTTCACTGATTCATTTAGGTAGGAAAAGAAATTTGTCTCAATTGCAGATTAATCCCATTTATTGTGTATTAAGTATTTACCCAGAATGTAAATATCTGGCAAATATTACTGCTAGACTTGGAGGAAGGGAAGAGGATGTGCCTGTATTTTGGTTAGAAAGTGTTCAGAAAGAAATCTTCATATACTGAAGCTTTTCCAGGACTAGAGCCTTGTGTCTCTAATACCAGGGTGTTTTTTATTTCAGTGTTGCCATGGTGTGATACTTAGTTTTTAATTAGAGGTATCCATGGCCAGTGTTTTGAAAGAATGTGAGTATACATACCATTTGTGTGGCATCAGGAATAGAATCATGCAGGTGTGACTTTTTTTTGTGTGTGTGATTACAAGATAAAGAACACAGCAAACTTGAGCAGGGATTCATTAAGGACTTCTTCATAGTTGATTGTGTCCAGCGTTTCCACCTGTTCTTCTCCTCTGCCCAAAGAAGAAGATAATAAATAATTAAAATAATGTTAATTCTAGGAGAGCAATCAAAAGGTTTTCCAGAAATGGACTGCTTGTTGATTGCAGGAAACTGGCAAAGCCTAAAGTGAGAGGTGACACATCTTAAATGAGAGAAAAATATTCTGATAGATCAGGATGTTTCAAGTCTGCAAAGTGCCTTTATAAGTCATTCCAGAAGGGTGGAATATGTCCACTCAATTTGCAGGTGGCATCTTTTCTCTGAATAACTTCACTAAACACATGGCTTTTATGAGATGTTTTATATCTTGCTTCCACAAATAGATTGACTTGACAGTCGTTCCTATTGACAGCCACTACTTCAATCAAACAGATTCAAAGAGTTTAAAAATGATATAGACCAATTATTAAGGGATAACGCTGGTAGTTAGCAGATTTCTAGAGAAAAAGGAAACATGTATGTGGTAATTTCATTATTTATAAAGATTTATTAAAAAATCCTTTTTAGAGGTTTGGTTTTCTTTAAACTGAATTGAATATGGAAATAAATATGTAGAAATCAGAATCAGTAGTGGAGACTGTATAACTAATTCTTCATGTGCTGTGTACCAGATATCTCCTAGGGACACTTTATGCTTCAATTTTAATCATCACTGTTTACTCAAGCAGTGATTGAAATATCAAGATTATAGGTTTAAAATAAAATTACCATTAATTACAAGGCTGTCATCTGGAAAGAGTGGCAAACTATAAATTTGGGTTCCAGAAGGATGCTTAAATCCCTTCAGCATAAAAATGTTAGGAATTTTGTTGTAGCTAACCTTACAAACTGTCAAAAAGCTTTTGAGAGCCGCCAGTGCAGCTATAGTATTTGACACAACTTTCCCATTGCCATCCTCACCTATAAAACTGTTATGGACTGTCAAGGAGCACAAAGGGCTGCAGAAACACCTTCAAAAAGTGAACAAAGAGAGAACTGGCTGTGGATTACGCTTAACGCCTCATCTTCAAAAGTAGTCTCAGTGTTTTGCAGAGCAAATTAAAAATTGTTAAAAACCTTTGAGAATTGGAAAAGAAATAATTATACCTACATTAGATGCAAAGGAAGAAAAACAGGAGCAGAATTACTTGCTGTAGCTGTCGAGCCCTATTGTTTGAGATGTTTCTAATTATAAAGCACTAGAAGCTGTAGGAACCAGCAGACATACACTCCTGCTTTTCTGCATGGATTCAGTTGCATAAAGCTGTGCATTTTGGATAGTATTTTGACCTGAAATGCCAAACCATCACAAGTATGAGAGGGAAAAAAAGAATAAAATCTATCATTTAGGAGAGGTAAAATAAAATATTACTTAAAAAACCTCCCCCAAAACCTCAAACCCAAACATACAAATCAAAGAACTGCTAATGAAAGTAGCCTCTCAAATGTTGCTTTTTAATTCTTTTTCTCTCTCCATGTTTGGAGAGTAGCTCAGAAGTATGCACACAGCTGTCAGACCCACGGTCTTTTGGAAGAAGCCTTTTAGAAATACCTAGAAGGATTCTCAAGTCACTCCTGTTGAGGGTGAAGCATGGGTGCTCTAAATCATCTAAAGGTCATGAAAGCTCTCAATCATCTGCTGAAAGGCCTGCCTCTGCACCTTCTGCTGACATCCCTGTATGGCTGCTACAGAAGAGCTTGTGAGGATCCTGTGTAATTCTGGTACAGATGAGCTGTTGCTCTCTGCAGTCGGCTGTTATAAAATCTGCTATGGTCACTGCTGATCTCTGGAGCAAGCGCTTTGGTTGTCACCGGTTTCTGAGTCCTCAGCACTGAGACCCTTAGAAGTTTGTTGTGGCTGTGTGTTACTGGCGCATTGCCTTTTGAAGTGCAAATCGTTCATTCATGTTGAGTCACTCCGCTATCAGCAGAACCACTGTCCTATTTGTGCAGGTTCTTTGTAAGTCCTGCTTTCAAACTGACAGAAGTGTATTACAAGAAAAGCTCTGCAAGACTGTATTCAGTTTGCTGAGCCACTGACTGCTTTTCAAATGGACTGTTCTCTACTGCCTGACAAAACATGGGAAATCATTTCCCATGGAAAACTTCTGTAAATGCTATGGTGTGTAATTACAGTTCCAGTGGAGTAGAAACTTTGTTTCTTCTGCAGAAAGGAATCACAGGAACATTTTTTTCTTTAATCTACCCATTTTGGATTTGACAGCATCTATCCCTATACGTATCCACAGGGACATAATGAATGTGCATTTCTCGTGCTCCTAGATGCATTACTTGCTCACTGGCACTAAGATGTGCCTGTTCTCTTAAGGTTTGTCTCTGTTGTCCAAGGTGTTTTGGAAAAAAGGGTTATTTCTCCTATATCAGAAAAATGCAACAGTCAGAAGCACTGGGGATTGCCAACTCCCTGTGCTGTTCAGAAGAGCATGTGTGGTTTATGTTTCTGGTGAAGGTTTTGCGCAGCATCCTGAAGCCCTACCTGGAAACCTTCTGTGGTGAACTTGGGCTGGCTGTAGTTTCATAGTATATGGAATCAGCTTTAGAAGCCAAATCCGTGTAACAGAAATTGAGGTACTTCATACATGTCTTATTTACATCTCTTGGATATAGAGCTGTGTAAAATGTCAAAACAATTATTTTTAATCTGAATTTAGATTCTTGTTTGTTGCTTTGGAAGTAGAATAAAAATACTTCTATATCTGGCTTCTTTCAGGGCATTTCAGCTGTATTCAGAGCTGTCATGGACAAATACAGTCACAGGGTACTGCATTACATAAGATTTATGCAATATGATCCCTAGTTGTGTCACCATAGTTTCTTAGCATTGTTGAGAGAAGTTCAGTTCGCTGCTTGTACTTCTTTTAGGTGCAGCTGATACTGTAATTTGGAGCATGGCTAATGGATTAGCTATGTGCCAGAAGATCCTGGCCTTCACCCTGGGTTCTGTATAGAGATCTGTGACTGTTTTCTTGGACCTTTTGTTTTAAGGAATTAATCAAAACGCTAGAATAGAAGACAGTAGTACATTTCCTTCAAGATTCTTAATGTCAAACTGTATAGGGCTGTCAGAAGAGACTGCTTTCTTGTGCCTTCAAGATTCTTAATGTCAAACTGTATAGGGCTGTCAGAAGAGACTGCCTTCTTGTGCCTTGTTCTTGTTCAACCATCTGCCCCACCTCACTCATAATCTTTTTCAAACAAGACCCAGAAGGAAGAGAGATGTGTTTCAGTGAACTCTGGTCATTTGCTTCTTCTCATGCTGTGTTTAAAACATCAATACTGACTTAGAAAATTTTATCAAGAGTCATGAATTGCTTGCT